ACATCAGAGTTGATGAATTAGGATTAAAATAAATAAATTCTAGATAATGAAATATTGGATGAATAAAAGCAAGTTGAATGAAAAAAATTGTGGATGAACTTAAGTTAAGCAGAGATGAATCTTATAAATGAATAATTATTTGGATGAAAAACCATTCTTAAATAAATTTTTGAAACTTAGATCAAAATTAGTTTGGATGAAATTTTAATTACTAAAAATTAAAAAATTAAAATTTCTAAAAGTGTATGAGAGTATTATAATTATAATTAATATTTTGATGCATGTATGATTATTAATTGATGTGCAAGTGATTAATTGAATTTTTTAGAGAACTTAAGGTCTTTCAATAAGAACTAGATTGATATTTTATACAAGAGAAACATAAGATAATAAATTATTATGATTTAGGATAAATTACCAACTAGAAGTGTTTATTTAGTTCACAATTGAAGTATTAGAACTTATTGGATACTACTTAGATAATAATCATAAAATAATAGAACTAATAGAAAGTTATTTTGGTTCACACTTTCAATCATTCCACCAATTTAAGTAAGTGTGTGGTTGGCACAAGAATTAGCCTTAAGTTTTAAGGTATATATGGTATTTTAAAGATAATCATAGAAACAAAAATATTAGGATCTACACATCATATCTCATGAGGTCCAAAGGCAAATGATTTTACCTTATTTTGCAAACATTGCTTTAAAATATTCAATTTTTGTTGGTAATAAAGAACCATCACATCCAATCTTTAATTCTTTAAAAGTTTCTTTTGTAAATTGATGTTTAATATTCTTTAGACCTCCTAAATTTTCTTCTTATGATTCTTCTTCTATTTTTTCTATAAAATATTTTAGTAAAGGTTTAATAATAGATTTTACCTTCTTATCTAAAATTTTATGTTTTATCTCTATAATAACTTTTGGCATTTGAAAAGATTTAAATATAGAACAAACCTCTCTTAAATGAATTTTCACAATATTATCATTACCTCTTAATCCAATAGATATAATTAACTCCAAAAAATCTTTCTATCTACTTTCTTCATAAACACCAAAAATCTTCTCATAATCTTCTAATATTCATGATTTATATTTAAAAAATTAATATTATCTTTTTTCTCTTTTTTTTCTTTTTAAATCTTTAATTTTTTTGTACATAATATTTTTATTCTCAAAAATATTAACAAAACTTATATCAAAGGCATCTACATCTTGTGAAAATACTTTCCATTTTTTATCTCTATAAACTTATTTTATAGTGGTACTTCTCTAAAATCCTTAAATTCTTCAACAATTCTTAGTAATGGCTTCTCTTTCAACCTATCTCAATTTTATTCATGATTAGAAGATACAATTAAAAATTATATTACTTTCTTTCCATCTTCAAATATATCCATGCATAAGCTAAACCATAATCAAGCACTTTTGTTTCAATCCATGTTGTGATAAAATATGGTTGTCTTAATTCATTAGATAGAATGTTGTATCTTAAACAAAGATTTTTTTATTTTTTTATTGCAACATCTCCAATCTAGATTTTAGCATGTAAACAAGATCCATATAATTTATCTTGTATATTATTAGTTATTTATATTATCCATCTAGACTCCATATCAATTAGCCACCTCCGCTTCTTGTAAAGATCTTTAGATATAAGATTTATTTCAAAACCATGGTCAATTAAAGCAACAACTAGTTCTTCTATATCTCTTATTTTTACCAATATTTTTGTAGTTGTCCTTGTTCAATGTTTTCAAGTATAATGGCTTGAAGCTTCTAATTCCTTATCACTACAATCCTCAAAACACACTTATTGATTATAACCATTTTTTTTAGTTATTAATTACTTATAACAATTATTAATTTCTTCTTCATCTTTATATATCTTTATATAATAGTATGACTCATTCTAGCTTCATCTATTAATTGCTTCTTTCATTTAATGTTGTCAATAATAACATTATAAAATTCTTTCTTTGCAACTTCTAAAATTTCTTTCAATATGAACTCTACCTAAGCATTTAATACATGTTCTTTAAGTACCTCTTTTAAATCTATTGTTGCTTCAATATCAGTGAATAGTTTATATGCTATTGACTTACTTTTATTTTTTGTCTCTTTTATTTATTTTTTTAATATTGTTGAGGTATCATTTGTGAAGAATTCTTCTGAAACTGCCATGTAAGCCTTCTTTCCATGTATTTGCCTCTTAGAAGAATTTTCTTCTTTTATATTATCAAAAAAAATAACTTTTTCTTTTCTTCCAACGAGGCTATATGTTAGTTCTTAGTAATGTATGCATGTTTTTAAAGTTATTTGAAAAAAATTATTATAGAACAAACTTCTTTGTCTATGTAGAGGTTAATTTTTTTTTTTTAAGTTTTCAATTACACAAAATTATATACATGTTATGCAAATTTCATATTTTCATTAGAATATTTATTCTATAAATTCTTCTATAATAAGAAAATTAGTCATTTTCTCTTCTTAAATTTTTTTTATTTTTTTTATAAATATTATTTTTTCTTTTCATATTTCTTTTATAATATTGATCTGTATTTTGTGAAATTATATTTTTAATAGTCTATAAAATCATTAAATAATTTTTTTTAAAATGTGAATAATATTTACTTGTTATAGACATTATTGTATCTTTATATCAATCTTTGAACTTAATTATATTTTTTACTTGAAAATTCTAAGATTTATTCAAATTATACAAGTTCAAACTTGACTTGATTTTGTTTTTTCTAAAGAAATCAAGGTAGTGTTTTTTTCCAAATAATAGTGTATTGAATAATTATATGTCAAAAAACAAGAATTTTGCAACTTAAGTAGACAATAAGAGTTAGTCTTTTCAAGACAAAGTATTTTTTTTTCTTTTCTTTGCTTTCTTTTACATATATAATTCAAAAAGAATTTATACTTTACAAAATATAGATTTTTCAAAAAACTTTTAATATTCAACATTAAAATTGAATTGATAAGAGACTATGAATAAATTTTTATATGGTCAAAGAATAAGATTTATTATAATCCATATGACTAAAAATAATTATAAACACACAGATATAATATCATGGATATACATATTTACTCCAATAATTACCTATATGATTAAGTAGAAGTAAGTAAAAGTAAATTAATTTCATAATATATTCTAAATAAGCTTCTTAGAAGCTTTATAAACGTTGCTTTGACTTTGTACGTGTTTGAAGTTAATTAATAGGCTAGAACTTAGTCAATAAATTAGCCACATGACACACATATTAATAGCTTGTAGAACAAGTTAACTATGTAGTATACATATAGATAATTTGTCTTACAAGTTAAGTCATGTATCTAGAAAAATCAATACGTATTAGAGGTCCTATAGAATATTGCCACATAGCTCTTAGTTAGAAAGTATATATGGAGGCAAGAGTGAAACCTTCTTCAGCCTTGTCAATACCTTTCTAGTCTTTAGTCTTGTTTCAAGAATTTTTAGTCTTCTTGTCTTTGGCAATAGCCATTCTAGTTCAATATACTACCATCTTTGAGTAATTTTCTAGTCTTTTTGAATAACACAAGAGTGTATCAAGATTTTCTTTCTTTGAGATTCATATCCTTGACACACAATCAACCTTAAATCTAGTAGTATTGTCTTTTTTTATAACACACAATCAACCTTAAATCTAGTAGTATTGTCTTTTGTCATAAGGATTTGTCAATATAAATAAGGCCATAATTTTATTATCTCACTATTCATCATATCTCCACAAGTATGTATAAAAAGTTTGTGAAGCTTTTAGACTAATATTTGTAATGACTTTGGAATTTGAATTCGTATCTTTTTAGATTTAAGCGTAAATGCAATATCTTAATATAGTTCAAATATCACATATAGACATCCACATGTTCTTACCATCTCACAATTAAGCTTCTTTCTTGTTGTAAAAATAATAATAATAATAATAATATAAACCTTAAAGTTATAATAATAATACAAAAAATACTAATCAAACAAATTCTATTATGTACTTCAAGATTAATACTTTAAAAAAACTTTTTTAATTATATAATATTGTTGCCAACAAAATATAAATTTTAATTCTCTCTGTGTGCATATATATATATATATATATATATTTATCACTTAAAAAGATGGATATTGTTTTAAAATACCCTTATTTATTGTACAACTTCAATCAATGTTATGCCACAATTAAAATTGCTCGCTATTTGTGAATTTCATAATTATTCTTTATTAAAATTCATTCTCATTTCACAACCCAAGTCACCAAATTTAAGTGGAGCATGAGCATAATTGTCAAATATATAGTTGATCCCCTGTCCTAAAACTGCACTATAAGGATATGCTCTCCATTCCTTTAATGCATATCCACAAGCTGACTCGGATTAGAATCCTCCTTTCACCACAAGCGTCGAATTCTGGGGCCAATCTTGTGGAATATTCTTCACACAAATGGTCCCTATCCTATCACCATTGCCACACAACTAGTCATCACGCAGACAAATTTTCTGGAAAATTTGAGGGCTTTCATGGCGAAAATGTTCCCATAAGTTTACTTTAAATTTTAAAACATAAAGCACGAGCTCACCACTCATCTAATGCAAAACCCAAAGAGTTCTTAACATATGTTTTGTTTGTCCCAGGAATCAGAAAATCGTCAACCTTTATTGAAAGTTCGATTCAGAACCAGGACCTGAAACCCTAATTGTTTCACAAATTCCATCCGCCACGTCGGACAAATGCTGCGAAAAAAACTAATGCTCACGTGGCACGCTCGCGCGGACACGAACTCGTCATTCCCAAAGACCTTCACTTTTACTTTTCCTAGATATCACGATAGGTGTTCTTCACAAATTGTACATTTTCAAGTTCAAGTTCCATAGATGTTAAGATTCTTAGAAAGACAATCTCCTCAAAGTGCTCTAGAAAGATCATAGAGTTTTGGTTATATATCCTAGATCTTAGATGGGTATATAGTTAGAAAACGAGGAACATTTGGCGGGGACGGACCGACCGCAATAGAGGCGTCGAGCGAGCGATGGCGACCGACTGAGAGAGTGTTTTTTTTTGTATTGCGGCGAGATCATAAGCGCAGGTCGAAGAAATGATACTGTCTACGTCGATGTTTTAATCAATGATCGATCTGTTTCTGTTTTAGTAACAGCTGTGATCTGTGGAGGCTGGCAATGGCGACAAGAAGCGGAGGAGATTTGATCGTGGATGGGCGCCGAGCCGAGCTGCCTGCGTTTTTCTATCGGTTGGAAGGCCTTTTGGTGATGGCACTTCTGTTTTGAATACCGAAGGTTTTTTCCATCGAGGTTTTTGGAATCATCAGGGAAGGACTTTGTCTTTAGGTTCTTTAGTTGAGTGTTCTGAAGTTAGAAACGAGATTTTTCTGAAGTTGATAAGCACGAGTTCGACAGGTTTAGGAAGTCGAAGTCGAGGTTGCATTTAGGTCGAGGACGAAGGCGCTGTGGGAGACTGTTTGGGCGTATTGCATTGATTTCGGGAAGCTGTAGATTTCGGGAAGCTGTAAATCAAGATTTTACGAGATGTTTGGGGTATGTCATCGGCGTGCGGAGCTACCGAAAGCAGCATTGCGGTTGTGCTCTTTGCACCAGAATTTCGTGACTGATGTTCTGTCGGCATCTCCTGCAGTAGAGAACGTAGCTTCTGCTGATTGCGCATGTTTTGAACAAGCAATCACCTCAGGTACGTTTCTTTCGAGCGTTGTTTTATGATATTGTGGAGTTTGAAGAGTGTACTCATTTGCGAGGAGCAATAGAAGGGTATCCTTGGTGTATGTCTGCGATTTTGAGCAGGATTAGGATGATTACATGGAATGGATAAATTGCAATTTTATGGAGCCGGAGGTACTACATTGTTTTTCAGGAGATAGACAATTGTACTCAACAAGATCTCACGAGTTTCAAAAGCTGGTAAAGACGTCTTCGGTACTAGGTTGGAACACTATTGACAAGTGGAAGAACCGCCACGATTTGTTACCACCGAAATCCATTCTCAAAAAAGAAGGTATATGCTTCAATGTATTTTTTTTCTTCTCGCAATCTTGTTCTTCGTTCTCATGGATTCATTTGTTCCTGAGAGTCCTACGAGTATCTCTTAGCTTTGCATCATATTGTAGCTGTAATTGCACAGGGTGAATTTTTCTGTTCTCACCAAGGATTTGTTGAAGAACTGATTGAACTGCAACGTGTTCTTTTCCTTCTTCTTTTTTTTTTCAATCGAGATACTCTTTGAAAAGATAGTGTTGCTTCTCTGGCTGTCCATTCTCATGGCAACTTCTTGATACATCTACTTCGCATCTGCGCAGCGTCTATTATTTCGTCTCCTTCGGCCAACATAATCGATGGCGAAGCTATTGCTCAGGAGATTAAACTTGAAATTGCTGAAGTGGTTGAGAAGATGAGATCTGCTATCGGTAAGGTTCCCGGCCTTGCAGTGGTCCTGGTGGGCTCACGCAGGGATTCTGAGACGTATGTCCGAAGAAAGCAGAGAGCATGTGAAAAAGTGGGCTTCAACTCTTACGGAGTCTCGTTGCCAGAAACTGCTACAGAGGAGGAGGTTCTGGAAGCTGTCAGGAAATTTAATGCTGACCCAAATGTCCATGGTGTATTGGTGCAGCTTCCGCTTCCTCGCGTAAGTGCTCTTTAAGTACAATGCGAACTGCTTTGAAGTTCTTTTTTGTTGGTATTTTTTTTGTGGAAATCATGCACGAACACATTTACCTTACAGCATTAAGGAGCATTCGTAAGTAGGGTTTCAGCACAGTAGATTACAATCCACCTAAGGATAAGTTTACTTCTGCCCATCTAATTTAAGTCTTTGCTAATGCAGCATATTTGTGAGGAGAAGGTAGTGGGTGCTGTGAGCATACAGAAAGACGTAGATGGTTTCCATCCAATGAATGTGGGGAGGTTGGCCATGCAAGGCCGGGCTCCGCTCTTTGTGTCATGTACTCCCAAAGGGTGCATTGAGTTGCTGTTACGATCTGGCGTACAGATAGAAGGAAAACATGCAGTGGTAATAGGGCGAAGTAACGTGGTTGGCATGCCAGCTGCTTTGCTTCTACAAGTACGTCGCTTCCTTTCTCGCATTTTTTTTTAATTTTCTCATTGCTTTTCAGCATGAGTTAGTGGAAGAGAACAGAACATCTTTGTGCGGTCATCTGTTGGTTAAATATACATGAGGATTCTGTTCAATATTTGATTCAAGCACTGACAAGTTAATACGTGTTCGATGTAGCGGCAAAATGCAACGGTTACTGTGGTTCATTCGCATACTCCAAACCTTGCGGAAGTCACCAGGAATTCTGACATCGTCATTGCTGCTGCTGGAGTGCCGTTTATGGTGCAAGGGAGTTGGTTGAAGCCTGGGGCTGTTGTTATTGACGTTGGCATCAATTACATAGAGGTTAGGCCTTCAATCATATGCCCTGGTTGCTCTTCCTAGATCTGCACCTGTCGAGGGTTGTAATTTAGGGTCCAGGAGAACGTGGAGTTAAGTGTGTAGACTGCCCTCCTCGTACTATTTTGCAATAAGTTGTCTGCGAGAATACGGGTCTGGTTGTTACTCAGAAGCTCGAAGTTGATAATAGCTGCTGACTTAGCGTTTGATGTGTTCTTTGATGATACTAGGATCCTGATTCCGAGAATGGATATCGAGTGGTTGGCGACGTTTATTACGCAGAGGCCTGTCAAGTGGCGTCTCTAATCACTCCTGTTCCTGGTGGGGTTGGGCCAATGACCATCGCTATGCTGCTTTCCAACACCCTTGATTCAGCAAAACTTGCATTTGGGTTCGTCGAAAATTGACGAGCTGCACAGGGCGTCCACTTTAGAAATCGAAAGATTGGAGTTTCTCAATCACGGCTGTAGTTGTTCACGAATAGAGCGTTAGGGTAAGTATAGACATCAGCATAGGCGCATCTCAAATTTCTATCATGATAACGTACAATTATTTTTGTCGCCAATAAATTCTTCTCTTTATTTATTTGTTCATTTATAATCAATCTCTTGCTGTGTAGTCGCATGAGTCAGCTCGCTTAGCTCCATGCGCTTAATACAATGTCACCCTGTCTTGTGACACTGTTTTATGTGCAACGACACAACGATTGGAAAGCAGGGGTTGATAAGATGCTGTCCAGATTGGCTGATGTGTGAGGTGTTTCAAAGCACTGTGTTCGTCTTCTCTTGACTGACTCGTAGTTCAACCACAGTTCTCCAGTATCGAGGATGTCATGCAAATGGAATTCCTGGAAATCTCTCAAAAGTAACTGGAATCCAAAACATTTGTGGCTGCTTACAAGAAGCGAGACACTGTTTGGTGGAGTAATTCTCCGAAATCACCCAGTAAATTACAAAGTGGTCCAGTCACGAGGACCCAACGCCAGAAGGGCACACAAACACGACAAAAATTGACAGAGTTTCGATGAGATTGGTAAAGAGTACTAATTATTTGTACGAATCGAGTACAATCTGCACACATATACGGCATTAGATCATGAGACAACAGCTCTACTATGAACAAATCGAGCTACTATCTATTATATGCTCTCTATCACATTCAAACTCGAACCTATTCGATGCGATTGCGCGTTACAAGTGTCTCGTCTGACTTCACGAAACCCTCGTGGACACGCGCCCTCGAATCTGGCTACTTGACACCACCACAGCAATAAGCTTGCTTCTTCGAGAATAGAGCCCCGCAGTTGTCAATTTAATACTGCTTACATCGCTCCACATGCACTATCACCTCCGGGGCTGTTGCTGCGGAAAAAGAAATGACCAAACGCAAGCCCCGCCACAATGGCCAAGAAAACACCCCAATTGAATGACATGGCCGCGAGCATCAGCATGTAGCCTAACCCTACGTTGACGCCAAACAGAAAAGCCTCCAACACCTTGGTGAATAAACATTTCCGACCCGAAGTGCCAATCAAAGGAATTCGGGCATCATCGCCATCCTCCATGCGACCTTTCTCCGCTTTCGCACCTAATGCCGATCTTTGGCTAGCCAACCACTCATGCAGCATGGAGAAGAGGAACACCACCAGCAACGACACCACGTACCACAGCCATGTGTGCACGCGCCAGAAATCGAACAGGATCGTCACGTCCTTCCCCCAGTAAAACGTCATGTGCATCATCTTGACCGACTCCTCGCAAAACTCAACAATCCCTTTCCAAAATCTCCACACCCTCACAATAATTCTCACTTACAAACCCCCCTCCGACGACGACGGCCCCCACACCCACCGCGAAGCTTGGTCGCAGTAAAGCTGGCCTTCGGCTTCGACCACCACCGCCACCACCGCTCCGAAACACCACACAGCCTCGATACTGCAACCAACCTCACAGCTCCAATTGCAATCGCACCCTCGTCGGCAGGCGAGTGATCAAAGGATCGGAAGACAGTGGCGGGGGCAAGGAGTTCGCGTGATGAAGGAGACGCAAATCAGATCCCGAGGAATCAATCCCCCATCTCCCCGCGAGCTTCATTACGTGAGGAAGCCCCATGTACTACACTGGCGTGTTGTAGTACACGGCAAACTGTGTACACTGCACTGCCTATTCTTACCACTCCAGCGCCGTATGAACGGAGTTGAATAGTGTGATCAGGGACATTTTTGGTGCTCCTGGATCGCGGTGTGAACAGAGAAAGGGAGGTTGGCGGGTGATGGGGATTGGCTGTGGGGCGTGAAGGAAGGATTCTCTTTTATTTATTTGTTTGTGTTATATTATTTATTTATTTATTTATTGATGAGACTGGATTGATGATGGATTGGTTGCTTTAATATGAATTATTCTTCCATCCCTTTGTGCCCAGATTTTTGGATTGTTTAGGGCTTTGTACTATTGTACATACAGTTTTTTTTAATACTAAAATCTTTTCTTTTCTTTTTTCTTATATATATATATATATATATATATTTAACATTCCCATATATATATATATATATATATATATATATGGGAATGTTAAATTGACCCTATATTTTATAAAATTTATCCACCCATTCAATGGATCTAAAATCAATGAAAACCAACCACATTCATCATAATTACCATATTTTTCATCACGGGTAGATCAATTTAGTAAAACTTTAGGTCTATTTAATAGTTTGATATACATATTGTTTTTTTTTGTTTTGTTTTGTTTTGTTTTTTTTTTTTTTTTTTTTTTTGTATATTTGTAAAGTTATGCATTCTTCACATTATAAAAAGGAAAACAAATCTTGGATCTTTATCAAATATATGAAGAGATCAGGCATGTGCATGTGTGTATATGTTTGTGCGTATGCATATTAAATGTTATAGCATAAATGTGTTTCTACCATTAATTATTTTTAGCTATTTTGATATTAAAAAATTATTGGTTATGTTTTTAACAGTTATCAATAAAAAAAATATTTAATCATGATCATGTACAAAATTTTATATTAATATGATATTATATATAATAGTATATTACTTCTTTGTATATATACTTTCCCCATTAAACCAAAGTATTTTTTATATTGTAATAATAATAGTTTTGTTATATTACTTGAATTTTTAATTTATTAATATAATTCACCATGTCGTTATATTACAGAGTCTTTAAATTTGAAAGAAATCAAATTTTATTCTACGCGTTTATGTAAATATAAACTGATTTTTCTGTGAGATTACAGAAGATAAAATCCTTTTACTACGAAAACTTTAGTCTGTAAGCTAATAATCCCAAAATATTCTTAAATTGAACAGACAGTAGCATCAATTCCAACTTCTACTGTAAAAAAATAAAAAATATATTTTAAAAAATAAAAATAAAAAATAGTACAACACATGAGTATGTAGTAAGAATCAATATTTAATCTTTTATTTTTTAAAATTTTAGCCAAAAATAACATGCATAGAAAATCTCTCTCTCTCTCTCTCTCTCTCTCTCTATATATATATATATATATATATAACAAGAAAATCATTAGCAATTTTTATTTTGACATCACATTGAATACATTGTATTCTTGTTGCTTTTGAACTAATAATAACTCTCTCATAAAAAAAAATCAGTTCTTTAACCCTAAATCATGTAAATTTCCTCTTTCTTTTCCTCTTTTTTTTTTTTTTTTTTTTTTTTTTTTGTAAATGTATAAACATACCTTACAAAAATCACTAGTCAAACCAATGCACACACAGTTCACCTTCATTTGCTACATCACATATTCAAATTTTAAACCAAAGAAAATCATACAAAAAACTCACACTGTACTTTTTCATCGACCGGAATAGACCACTGGTAAATAAATAAACAAATAAATCCCCTCACGTTGGTTGAGAGAGTACTCCATTTGCTTGGTCTTATTGTGCGGTTTATATTACCAGGCTGAAGTGCAACTGGGTGAATTGAATCCACATCTGTTCTGCAACAGGATGGGAGTGTAAATCCAGCTCGATATACCAACTACTTCAATGTTGTCCACACTTTGAGAATGGGACTGTGCAAAATGTCCCCAAAAGGTGTCTAGACGAGAGCATGCCAATGTGAAACGAGACCATTTCGAAACTCAACCATGATGCTGGGATCGCACCTTGGAAGATTTGAAGCATCAAGACTTTGGTAAAATCGGAACTCTCACCATGTTAATGTGCTCGTCATCTATGCGAATAACGCCTATGTAAAGAATGAAGAAGACTAATGTCGGCAGTGCAACTCACCGACACAATACCCTGATTGCGAACTGAATAGTTCGTTATGTGCAAATTTTGTTTAGCAAATTAAGACTTCGTGATATGATATACAATTGTTTTATGATGAATATGGATTGGGTCTCAATTTTCAATTCAAGTTACATTGGCCTAACGTTGATTAGTTTGAATCCCAATATGGTTGATTTCAAGTAGACTACTGCTTTTAGAATACAAAAAAATTACCCAAACTGTGTACATTTCTCTAGATTGTTTGATTTTGGCATAGTCAACTAAATTACATGCATAAACCATTATATTGTTGCTAAACAAAAAGAAATTAAGTGTATGTAGAATGTTTGAAACATGGGCAGTGTTCATGAGAAATTTCTTGTTTGTAATGCATGTGGAATACATCTTATATACAGCATTAATTTTTTTGTAAATAAAATTGTTTCTTTTTTTGGTCATGTGATAAATTTTAATGTATTCTTGTATACTTTGAACATTAATGTCTTAGCAACAACCACGTATGTACCAACATAAATCAGCAATATAATATTGGTTTGATTTTTATTAAATTATGATGTCACTTGCTTATTTAGTTCATAAATATTAACATAAAATGAATATATTGTAATCAATAAACTTTCGAATTTTATAAATTTTATATATATATATATATATATATATATATATATTATAATCTAATATGAATATGTAGCCTTTTGTTCTTTGTTGATAGATTTTTTTAGAGTATCTTCATAAAACATTATGAATGTGTATGATTTTGATTAATTTTAAGCAAAATAAATATAAAATCTAATTAAATTAGTCTTCTAAATTCAAAAAATAAAAATCCTTCCATAATATTTCATTGAAACCTCTAAATTTTTACTTTAGAATAAAATTATGAGTTTGTATGTATACTTAAACATATATCATATGTCATGTGATATGGCATTAGGTGCCAAATCTTTTCAAATATATGTACTTTAGTTTGGTTAGTAATTTTTTACCTATTGATAATTTTTTGTTAATTGATTTTATTCATATTAACTAAGGTTTGAATATTTAAATGGAAAAAAAATCCTTGACTTGACATTCTTATCAAATCAATTCTTGTAAGTAATTTTGAAAATAAAAGAACTTATTGTAAGGATTGGCTATGGTGATTTAGCTATTTTAATAAAGTTTTAGGATTTTTCTTATTTTCACACTTGCACTCTTAGATTCTTCCTTTGTGACATGAAAGATAGCTTGACTTAATTTGGTATAGATTTCTAATCTTTCACTTGACAAGAATCTCTTATTCTCTTTAATTTTTAGTATAGTAAATTAAAATGAAGTAGATTTTTAAAAAATAAAAAATAAAAACATTAAAATTTTGGATTATTTTTGTTACAAGGTTTTGGGTACTACTGGGTTACTATACTAGGTACCAGAATCCAATTAAGCTATATGCTGGTATATTGCAACCATACTAGAGTACAATATATTGGATATTAGATTTTGAAATCTTTTAGTACTATATTGGGGCAGTACTAGACATTGTCCTATAATATAGAAGAAGTAGAGCATGGAGTTGTGGTGTTGGAAAATTACATGTCACGATTAAACAATGAAAAATTACAAGGCAAGACTAAGTTACAAGTATGTAGCAATGGATTATTGGCTTGGCTTGTAAGGCAAGGTTGGAGGATCATGGCAAGAGGCTTAAGTTGTAAGAATTATGCAATGCACGAGGATTTTGATATAAGGTAATGCAATATGCTATTGTATATCAAATTATGTGAGACATAAATTAGATCTGCAGCATTTAGTGATAGAAGCTAACATCAACTAACAATACCTCACAATATTTTCTTGTTGCTTAAGACATCAATCCATGGTCTTAGGTAAGTTATAGTGATAAGACCTCACAATCACCGAGTTGCACAATTATAGGACTTTGTCATCAAAGATTTCACAATTACAAGATATTTTTGTAGTCATAAGACCATGATGATATGATTAAAGCTTCATTTGTAATCATAGGACCATAGTGATATAGTCAAAGTTTCATTTATAGTAATAGGACCATGATTTATAAGTTTCTATAATCATAGATCCATTGCACTATCACAAGATATTAAAAAAAAAAAAAATTAAAAATTAAAAATGGTACAAAATTCTTAAGTGTCAAATTTGGAAGTCCTTTTTAAATACATATGGAGTCCGAATTTGATTATTTTTTAGTCAATTTTATACAGAAGAGACTCAAAGAGTCTATTGGTATATTTAATTTTTAAAGTAGATTTCATTTGAAGCATTAAAGTGTCATTTATTAAATGTCGATTGCTTTCTAAGTGAATCTTTGATTTTTTTTCATTTTTCTACATTTTATTTGATTGCAATTATCTTTTATTGTCACATTTTTGTAATATATCACCATCAATTTTAAGTGGATGCCGATTGTCTTGATTCACTTTTGATTTTTTCTTGT